AATCTGTTTAACACTTACTGCTGGGGAAATTATCAGCTCTATACAAAAACGGAGGGAGAACCCCCTTTCATTTACGTAGCACCTAGCTTGAATGGTTACCAAGGGTGGGGCATCTTAATTCACCTCTTAACCCCCTCCCATTGCCTAACCTAAAGCAAATTCTAGACATCAGATTTCATCCAAAAATAGGTCACGAAGTATCAGAGATTTAAACAGATTTATCAAAGGTATAATAGACATAAAATAAATGGCATATATTTGAAGTGTACAGTTTGCTAAGTTTGGATATACAGCAAGCAAGCCCCCACTACAATCAGGATAGTGGCTATATCCATGACTCCCAGATTCTTAGGTACCTTTTCTAATCCCTCTGTCCTCAACCCTTACTTCCCCACCGGCAACCACTGATCACATTCTATCAATATTAGTTTCTAGAATTTTTTATAAATGCAGTCACATAATATTTGCCTTCTTATGTCACTTTCAATGTAATTGCTTTGAGATTCACCCATGTTGGTTTGCGTGTGTGTGTGTATCAGTAGCTCATTTAACTGCTGACTAAGAACTTTTAAAAATAGCCACGGTATTACCATCACATCCCCAAATCAAATAGTTTATTATTAATACCCAGTCAGTTGTTACATTTCCCCATTGACCCATAGTGTGCTTTTATAGCTGGGCAGTTCCTATCAGGACGCAGTAGCAGCATCTTTAAATTGCCTTTCTACTGTCCTTTCTACTTGCATCTACTTGAAGTTACTATTTCATTATGTAGTAATAATTTTTCTGGGCTGGCATGTAATTATGTGGAAATGTCACAGGAAGAGTTTGCCTAATCCCTGTCACCCTAACACAGCCACTCATCTTTGTGTGCCTTCAGCCGTTGACCTCATGCAGGAGTTACTCAGACAGTCTTAATAAAGTGCCTTATAGTGAACACAGTATGTGTCCAGGAAAAATGCTAAGTGCAACTGACAGCAGCTCGTGCACACCAGAGTGGAGCGCTCCACTTCCTGTTTTTCTCTGCAGAGGCCTGACTCTGGAATTCCCCTGGTTAGCTCGATTTAAATCTCTTCTCTATCTTGTATTATTAATACTGCACACACACACACACACACAGTGCACTTTCAAAATCCACATTGTTCTCAATCCTTTTTTTTTTTTTAAATATTTATTTATTTATTTATTTATAGAAGCACTGGGTACAGTCAGAAGCGCGGGAGGGTGAGAGAATTCACCGAGCCAGAGCGGGGAGCAGAGCAGGCAGAAGGACCGAAGTCCACTGCTGAGGGGAGCAGCGGGCGGCAGGAGAGGTCTGCGCGCCATGTGGGATCCTCCTCCGGTGGCCGGGGAGCAGCTGGGTATCGAACCGAGGCTGCGGGCAGCTTCGCAACCCAGCGCTCAACCGCTGCGCCACCGGGGAGGCCCTATTTTCAACCTTGACTAGGGAAGTTGTGATAATCAGGAGACCCCGTCCAGCCTATTCCCTTCCCTGCAGTGATGTGAGGTTGAGAATCCTTTATTTTTCTTTACCTTCACTCTGCTTTTTCTCATCAGAAATTAAGCATAATCAAGTCTTTTCCTCTTCTCCCTGCCCAGAAGGCCAGACTTCTCTTGTGTTGCATTTCTCCCGTGTCCACTTCCCTGTGTGTCTTCCACTCTTGTTCCTCCACGGACAGAGCACCCATAAAAGTACTCACTGCATGTTGCTGAATTGGTCCTCAGCCTCACTTCATGGCTTCTTTTTTTTCCACTCAGCCTTATTTAAGGTTCCTCTATGCACTTTTATTAACTTGTGCAGCTTTACTATGCTGGTGACTCATTTTCCTATCTCTACTTTTTTCCATGTCCACTGCTATTAATTAGTTGAATCCAAGTCTCTCTTCACCAGCATTACTGTGACAGCTTCCTTTGGTGCCCTCTGATTTGCCTTCCACCGTAGCTATCGTCAAGTACCCTTTTCAACCAAATTGAGTCAGTGCCCTGCCTTCACAGCCATGTTCCTTCAAGCATTAGGGAAGAAAAGACTGGATGCTTTTGCATTTATACTCTAAAATCAGGGAGAGGTTACAAGGCAAGGAGCAACCTTTGAGTACAAAGGGGAAAGTCTGACTCCCAACTCAGTGAAGTTCAGGTAGAAAAACACTGGACTATTTTCACATTCATAAATTAATGATCTAAACTAGCCATAGAAGTTGAAGTTGTCCTGTCCTTTGCTTTTCAATGAGAATAGGCTCTTTGGAACCAGCCTGGGTATGTGCTTTTCAACATCCTTGTCCAGTATTCAGTCTTTGTCATTTGAGTGTATGTTTAATCCTCTTTACAAGCACATGGATTCACAGACAAATCCATCAGGAAATTTCTTTCAAGGATCATTTCTGAGTGAGCTGGGTGTTCATTTCTAAAGCTTGCCAAGAATAGAGGAGTCTTCATCAAAGGAAGACTCCCCAGAAGTTTATCCCGTCCAGGTGTGGGAAATTCATGTGCTGATGGTTAAGCTACATTTGGATGTGCCCCGGTCAAAAAAGTTTTCTAACAAAGCAGCTATAATGGAAGTGTAACAGTATATTGCCAGGAAGAAAAGTTACAAAGTTACTGTCACTATCTTTTCCTACCTAAACAGGGTGGGAGGGAATGGAACATGGTTTCTTCGGGCTCATTTAAGACTACTGTCCTAGACAAGAATATTACCAAGCTTTTCTCCCAAATCTGCGACATCTCTCTGAAATACTCATGTCCCTTCCTCCTCACAGAGTGACAGTGACACTGGACTATCTCCAAGGCTGTCAGTCTTTCCTTCCAGTTCCTGTACGGTGGTCTTCTAACTGTTGAATGGGTGGGACAGAAATAGATGGTTTGGGGAGAGGCTAGGATCAGGGTGGGGAAGACTAGTGAAATGCTGGTATCCGGCATTCCAGATCAGGGGTGGATGTGGGTTATCAAGTCTGTGGTCAGGAGCAGGGAGTGTGGATGAGGCACCTTTAGGACAGCTGAAGTAGCAGTGAGAGCAGGAAGTCAGCACAGTGTGTTAAGAAGTAGAAAAACATGAACACGATCAAAGTCTCTAGACCCGTCTTGGGTTTTCTGACACCACTGTCAGGCAATTGTATGGAGCAGGGCCCCAAAAGACAGACTGAATTTATTATCAACTTATTCAAATAAAGTGTGGGGAGAGGGTTAGAAATACCTGATTTGAAAAATAATGAGTATTTTAGTTGTGGTTTTTGGCTATTTACTATTGCCACTGGAAAAAACTACTGATTTAGAGCTGGGGTCAGCAAAATAATTTCTGCAGGTCAAATGTAGTCGGCCCACATGGAACACAGCTGCACTCACTCACGTGCTGTCTGTAGCTGCTTTCGTGCGATGAGAGTGGCGTTAAAGCCATAGCAGAAACTGTGTGGCCCGTAAGCTTTCTTTGTGGATTCCTGAAGAGAACCAAGGAGAATTATTTTCCATTGCACTGAAACTATAGAGAGAAGAATAATGGATCAAAACAGAAATTTGGGAGATTATACACACATTTATTCAGATGTCCACATTAGCAGTAACAGTAGAAGAAAACTTTCCTAAAGGGCATTGAGACGTGTGGTCAGTTAGAGAAGGACCACCGTGCAGGAACTGGAAGGCCAGCCTGACAGCTGTGGTCTGTCAGGTCCGGTGGTCTCTGACACTCGATGAGGAAGGGACATGAGTATTTCAGCGGAACGTCGTAGACTTCTCTTAGGAGCAGTCTGCAGCAAGACAATCTTGAGGATGGTAAAACTATGGCTAGTGGCTTCTTAAGGAAATCCTGTTGTAACCATCTGACTGAAGGAACGCGCTTAGCAGCTGTCCCACCTGCCTCAGACTATGCAGGTGTCTCTTCTTTTCCTTTCCTAATAAACTTGTCCTCGTAAGACGTAAAAACAAAAACTCACTTCGGTCTGTCTTAAGTTGATACAATAGATACTATCAGGATAAGCCAGCAGCAGGCGCTTCTTGAGAAGGAAGGAGGCGGGACAGTCAGAGCTGATGGAGTCCCACTTGCCCACGGGTCTACGTTAAGCAGTTTCAGTTCCGTGAGATCAGCCAGAGCCAAAAATATGGACAGTAAGATAGGGTGACACACCACATTCATGAAACTTTTATAGTATGGTTATAATTGTGCTGTGTTACTAGTGTACTGTGCCTAATTGATAAATTGTCTTAGGCATGTATGGTTTCAGGCAACTATCGGGGTTCCTGGAATACACGCCCGAGGGTAAGGGGGAGGTGACCATTTTACACATAAGCCAGCTGTGCTAGTGCCTTTCCAATTAAATCATGTGTCTGAGGACTTCAAAAACTCGAGACTGATTTGTTTGCCTTGGAAAAATCAGATGATCTGTGAAAAGCAGCAGGATGAAGAAATAGGCCTAGGGAGATGGATGTTTTGCAAAGCACCCTGTAAGGAGTGATTCTTAACAATTAGGAATCAATAAACCACACTGAGGTGCCTAAGTTTGGACAAAATTGGTAGAGCACAGTGAACAGTCTAGAAACCAACCTCCCACACACAAACAGCTGGCAGATTTGCCCTGTGCCAAGGATAGTGGGGTATAATATAAATAATGACCATCAGATAAAATCAAATGATGAAAACTAGATACTGAAATCACTGTTTCCTTTGCTTAACAGTAACAGTGGCGACTAATGATTTTACATTTGTCTCTTCTTTAAAACAATAAAACTTAAGTGGTTATTATACAAACACATGCGTGTGAAAGCTTTATCAAATAACGTATTTGCATTCTAAAAAATCTCTTATTTAGCTTTGCCCATCATTTTTTGTGTGTGCGTTTCTATCGGTGGATTTCATCATAAAAGGTAATTGTGATAGGGCAATACTTAGTAAGTTTGTCCAGGATATGAAAATAACTATTAAGCGAAGATACTCACCCACCACATAAAAATCCGTCAGGATAAGTTTCCTGTTAGAAGATCACCGTCTCACATACATCGTGGTCCATGTATTTTAGAAACGACGCCGACGGATCGACCGAAGCATGATTGGAGAGCCGACCAACTTCGTACACACAGCGCACGTGGGCTCGGGAGACCTGTTCAGTGGGATGAACTCAGTAAGTATGTGGGTGGAGCACGAGGATGATGCCAGTGGCCAGTCCTCCGAAACCTCATTCTGCTGTCTTAACATTGTAGTTTATGCACATACGTGTAGACGTGGAATATACAGGATGAGCATACAAGAAATGAACAGTGAAATATTAATCTCATTTGTCCAGTTACACATTTGCTGCTTTTATAGTTCTAAAGTCTTTGTTGCTACCTTTCTCCTGAGCAACTACTTCAAGGGTGTGGAGGTTTTGAATGGAAGTTAATACCCATGCCTGCCCATAGAGACTTGGAAGTCGATTTTTAATAATCTTTTTTCCCTTAAATTCAGTTAGTTGCCTTTTACAATCATTTTTGTTGCACTTTTAGCCTTTACATATTATTAGAATGCTTGTAATTTATTACTGTGATAAAATTCTCATGCACTAAGCAGAGTATTAGAATTTGCATGATATAGAGAACAAGAATTAAAATCTTTCAGAAAGGTTTCAAGTAGACTTTAGATTATTCATCTGAATATTTCTTAGTTTTCATCTAAGAGAAAATCAACAGCATAAGAAAGGCATTACACATGAGGGTTTTTTTTCATCAGGAGTCTGCCTCAGTACTGAGGGGCTTGCTTCAAGGCAATAGTAAGAGTCTCATCCCCCTGCCTAGCGTAAACAGATGTTTCTGGGTGATCTGTTTAGTAACAGCAGGTCAAAAAGTCTTTCTAAACATGGTATTATTATAATCCATGGTATACTTACTGCACAACATTAATGAAAGACTTCGTAGGAGAACAGAGACCTTTAAAGTAGGAAGATGGGTTTCCTGGATACAGCAAACAAGTTTGTCACTTCGGTTACTAGGTAAGCAATGGAATGACATTTGTGGCTTCCTGGAAAGGAAACAGCTTGTTTGTTTTAAACCTGTAGGAAAAGTACTTTGTTACTCAACTGCTTTTGTGGAAATGAAAGACGTATCAGGTTGCTGTCAAAATATAATTCCCTGTCTTTGTTTCCTGATTCAGCTTGGAGTAAAAAGACCAAATGGGACTCGGAATGAGTTCAATTTTTATGATGACTTTAAGTCTTTTTCCCCAGTTGAAATTTATAACTTCATAGAATGAATTAAGATTTTGAAGGTTAAATATTGTGACTTAAAAGTTTGTTTATAAACATTTCAGAATTTCCTTTAAGAGTCCCATCTGGTATTTCGTCTCTGTCCGGGGGGGGGGGGGGGATGGGACTGTTACTGATACACATGACTCTTGTTTGCCATGGTTAGGTAGGCCTGAGGCCCCGCAGGGCTCCCACATTTACCTCTCCAGTTGAGATGTGGCATCAGGACTGCAAGGTAGAGCTCTACAATAGCTGAGCCACGTCTCCAGGCAGCCTTCTCTGCTTACTGAAGTGGAATTTCTACAAAGTGTAAAAATCTTTAAATCCCAGTGTGCCTTCCAAAGAATACCCAAATCCTCACCCATAGTGGGTACCATGTAAGTTTCTTGAAAGTATCATTGATAATTCTTTCTTGTATTCAGTCTGCGCAGTCATTGTGCAAGTAAGACCAAATCATAAACAATAGCAATCTTCTTACATCAAATTTTATGATTAACCATTTATAAAACTATATCACTTCAGTGGTGGTAGCGTCAAACCTTGACACAGGCTTCATTCACCGCCAAACTCCTGCCCTCTCAACCTTTACTCCACTATCCTGGTCTCATCCCCACACCCCTGTAGAAATGCTACACAAGAAATATTTTGTCATAAGTTTATCCGAAGTGAGTAGGTACTATTATGAACATACCTTGATGCAGAGATGCATGTGAAACAGCCACATTGGATTTATTGAGTAGCCAAATGACTGGCAGTTTTTTACCCTAAATATACTGTGCTTCCTAACACTCAACATACAAACTTCTTGCTAGAAATACTGTATATCCAGTCACAATAATACATTCATTCTTAACATTGAAGAGTTACTAATTGAAGAACTGTCTTGGAGGAAGAGGTTTTTACCCTTCTTAGAATCTGAACTGCCATTGATAAATGCATTATGTAAGAGTAGGATGCTGTTGGTTTTGTAGTCATGTTAGATGGGAGGTTATTTGGTACAAAGATGAAATGAAACAAGCTGTGCCCCACAAAACACGTTGCCAGAAAAAGAGCTGCAAGTGACAGAACATGGCAAGCCATCCATGGCCTCCCTCAAACTGAGCAACTTTACTTTTTCTTTTGCATTTTATTACATGAAGTGCTCACTAAGTAGATGAATGAATGGTTAGTGCTCTTACCCCACCTCTCAGAATCACGTGAAAATGTGATGACCCTTGAGCTGACGCCATGCAGGAGACCAGGCTGCTGGTGCCACCTCCTCACTGTTAGGCCCGTGTCTACAAAACCTTCTTGCTGCTCGCAATCTAGCCCGATTCCTTTCATTCTCTGCTTCCAAATGACTTCTCATTGACAGAAGATTGGATTGATGATGATGTAAGAGTACCTCATAGTCCTGTGGTATGGGGAGGAGATTATCATCTTAATTTTACAGATAAAAATGTGATATTCAGAAAGGATAGTTCACTTAGTACACTATCAATCTGAATGACAGTACAAATCTTCGGAGCCTTAAAACTCTTTCACCTTTTCAGAAAACAGTAAGTCCTCCCTTAGCCTCCTCAGTAGGGGCTTGGAAATAGGACCTCAGTGAGCTGGTAGACTGCAGTCAGGTTCTCAAACGACGTTTCATTCAGCATCATTTTTCTCTCCTCAGTGTTATGATGTCACTGGCGGACCTGCCTTATAGACTAAGACCCATCACACACAATTTCCCTCGTACTTCTTTTTCTGATTGTAATTAGTTGGTTGATCATGTGTGTCCAGTGGCTGTAAACTAAGATACTTGAGGTTGAACAGAAAGGTGAACTGACCTATTACTATACACTTCTGTTTTCAAAATGGTATCAAGGGTTTGGGAAGTAGAGAAGGGGGGAGGTGGCGAGGGAGTTGTGGCAAGAAATGTTTATGTAACGGAATATTTGCCCTTACAACTAGAAAACTTTTAAGTGTAAAAAAGACTAACTAGTTAAAACGTTGATAAGAATCATTGACTGTGTTGGCCCTACCTCTTCACTCCTGTTGCTTTAGGTTAGCTCCATTCAAAACCAGATGCAGTCCAAGGGCGGCTATGGGGGCGGCATGTCGGCCAACGTGCAGATGCAGCTGGTGGACACGAAGGCAGGATAGCGCGGGGACCTCCTCGGTGAGTACCGCAGAGCTGGGGCACCAGGGGCCTGCAATGCCTGCAATCAGCTGGTGCCACTAAGGCTAAAAGATACATCTTTTGTTTTAAATTCTTGCTTAGCTCAGTATTTCAAGTGACAATCACAGGCAGGTAGGAGGCTGAGATGCTAGTGGCAAGATTATGCTTACATGTCCTTTGTGTATTGACGCTACGGGGAAGCCCACGAGTGGTGAAGTAGTGGTGTATGTAACACTGTATTTATTGATAAATCTTTCATTGTAAACTTCTTAAATTAAAAGAACTTTTTAAAAAAGGATTAACTCTTACTAAAGTATAAAAATAATTTGGATTTTTCTTTTGGTTTTTATAGGTTATTGTGAATTTGCTTTCTCTCCACTATTCTTGAATTTTTTGTGTGTTGTGATTGCTTTCTTTTCTTTTCAATTGCAAAAAAGAAGTGTGATGGCGTCTTGTTCAGCCTGTTGTGATTACTCCAGTGAGATGTTACTGTTCTGCTCCGAAGAAGCTATTGTCAGACGAATCCTGCATTTCCTTCAGCCGGCATGCATGCCTCTGGACTCATGGACAGAGTTCTTTGGATTGTGGCTTAATTTTTATCAGTATGGATCTGATCGATCTTAGCATGATCTTTTTTCGTGAATGCTAGCATTATTTTGCATTTTTGCCCCCATTTTAAACAATTCTTTCCACCTCCAGCCTTATGGTTTCATTGGTAAGCAAGGACCTGTTTGTCACCATTTATATTTCAGGTATGAGATCCACAAGCACAACGATTATTTTTACTCATTTGAAACTTCGGCAGAGTAGGGATCTGCATGCTTTTTGAAGTTGGTTTATATGAAAGCCCGTGGGATGCAGAAATGAATATTTCTGTGTTTCCATGGGCTGATGATACTGCTGCTATTAGAGAAAGGTTAGCTGTGGCGCCACATCAGTTTCACAGAAAAAGAGGACTTTAGCTTACTTTTAGAAATAGGACTTTTGCTCTGTTAGAATTACAACTAAGAAAAAGGCTTGCATTCAATCATAAGGCACTCATTCTGTTGTAAATGTTCACTCTATTTATTTTGAGAGCAAGGACCTGTGATTATGAACAGGTATGGTTATGTATCGTCTGATTCTGAGCATCATCATGTCACTAGCCATTAATTTCTTTGTCTCCTCACTCTGTTTTTGTTATTATGTTACCCAGTTATTTCTAGGAGCAGTTTGTTGAACATCTGGCTTATACTACTAACTGCAGAGTCACTGGTATATTTAGTGCCAGTGAAATAACCTGTATGGTGACTTTTTATGGTATTTGTGAGAAACCTTCATTCACTCAGGTTCCAGAATATGTATTCACAGGTTGTATTTCAGATATTTCTGTAAGTGCTTCGTCCCCACTTGAGTGTAAAAGACTTGTAACTCTGTTATTCCCCACCGTTCCCCTTAGTCTGGTTCTTCTGCCATAAGCAACTGAATAGACAAAATAGGAAAGCATTTCTTACCTTCGTTCTTTGGAATTTACCAACAGAGTGGGGCACCAGGATCACTGTCACTGTGCTGCTGCAGTTTTCAGCCTTCCTAGGTGGCAATCCCAAACGGAATCTGTCAGGGAAAAAGGTGGAATTTACAAAACAGGCATTTTGCAATTTAATAACTTCTAAATTCCTTTGGTGTCATTAAGTCATTGTTCACCTCTTATATTCAGGAACCTGCCAGATTACCTGTCATTCTGCTCAGCCACAATTGGTGTGTGCAGGCTCTTTAGAAGACAGATTCGGTTTTCTTGCCATTGTCAGCACTGATGCTGACCGATTTACTTCTGTTTTGACTTGTATTAACATAGGGAACCATGGTCCCTTTTCCCAACTCTGTGATTTTACGATCTTTTTTCAATCCCTGTATTTTTGCTACTCCAAGGACCAAATACTCCAGTGACTGCTGGAGCGATCACTATGGTAAGCCAAAGGCTGCACGTGTCAGCCTGTCACTGTTATGCAGCTTCCACTGACTTCACAGGCACAGCAGCCACCCTGTGAACAAGAGCACATGCCAGGGAAGGTGCCAGTACATTCAAGAAACAAGAACATTTCTGAAAATTCTAAGATACTAACCTTGGATACAGTTTTTTTTTTTTTTTTTAGGGAGGGTTGAAGAGAATTGATGTGAAGGGAGGCGGCTCTACCACATTTGTATGTGGGACTGCAAATCTCAGGAGGTCACTTATTCTTAGAGCAATGCATCTCATTTTAAAATTAAAGCTTATTAAATAGGATTTTCCTACTCGGAATTAAACCTAATATTCTGCTAAAAGTACATGCTAACAACTGTTAAGCAAGAGAAACTGAATAAAGGTGTAATGAATGACGAGGTGCTTTCCCAGGATGTAGGCATGAAGTGGTGCCAGTGAGCATTGAGCAGAAATGTGAACTCTGGTAACTGGGTTCCGCATTTCCAATGCAGCATTATCAGTGGGCCTTTAAAAATACTTTGTGAGTATATTAGCTTCTACTTTTGTTATTAAATTATAGCAGTTTCATTATAGAGCAAGTTTGCCTTGATTTTGTTTAAAATGACTTATGCTCAGCACCCAGAAGATAAAATGGACATATTTTTATAATATAAGCATACTTTTTTTGTACATTGTGTTCATTCTTGAATAAAGTGAGTTTAGTGTTCGCTTGTAGATAAAAGAAAAGTATTGATTTTGACTCAATAAATGTTCTTTCAAACCAGTTTGGTGGTGGTTTTTTCTCCCACAAATTGATAGCTTTGTTAAAAAATAGTTTTCCATGTTGCTTTCAATGAATGCGAATTGAGAATTCTAGTCCTCATTTCTTAATAGCTTGGTCAGAAAGCTTGGTGTTTGTTCCTAAAATAGTTAGCTCCCACTGGGGAAGGAGGGGGACAATCTTATTCCCCAGAGAACATCTGGCAATATCTGGAGGTATTTTTGGTGCGTGCAACTGACATTTGGAGGAAGAAAACACGGTGGCTGTTCAGTATCTGTGACATAGAACAGCACCCACAGCAGAGCTTTACCCAGCCTCAAATGTCGAGAAAAACCCTGGGTTATGGCAAGACTGATGTACTCACCATATACATCTTGATAGAAAGTCCTCATTTGTGTTGCAATCCTGTGCCTAGGTCAGTTAGGCTTCTCGGGATCATGAGAAAATGCCACACAATATCCTAAAAGTAGAAAAATCAATAATCATGATCAGAGGTTCCTAAGGAAATTGGGTTAGATGAAGCTGCCATGATAGATCCACACAATCCCGTAAAACATCCCAAATAAGTATCTGAAGAAACTGATATTGGTGTATCAGGAACTTTCTTTTGAGGGTCTGTTTTCAACAGACAGGCATGATTGTGCAAGGAAGGACAGATCTATACAATGTCAGACAGTCTTTAATTTCCTAAAACTTGAAGATACAGAAATCTACAAAGTTGATATCAACATGTAATACATACCCTCGGCTTAAAATCTACTTTTAGCGAACTGTTTTTTTGCGCCTTTGTTTTTAGTTTCTGACACCATAAGGGGCTTTTGCTTTGTCTTCTAATGAATTAAGCCCACCCATCACAATGGTTTTTTTGTGTGACCTGCCTTTGATGCACAGAAGGGGAAAAAAAAAAAAAAAACTATTCACTAGGAAAGTCTTTCCTGAATAAAAAGACCCAGGGGTCTAATGTAGCACCTTTTAAGCAACTGCTGAGAGTGGTGATCTTGGTATTGAAGAAAAGATGATTTGTGCCTCACTGGTAGGTAAATAGCAGAAGAGTACAGAAAATTGTCTAATTTTAAACCCCATTTTCTTTTCTGTAAATCCAAGCTCCACCACTACACACTACAACTCAGTAAAACTCATGTGTTCTGCAGCTTCAAGCAGATCTATGCCTTGGGGATCCCGGAAAAATTCCTAAGCAGTTAGTTTTGTTTTCATGCCCCTGTAATGCAGCAGCAAGTAAGATATGCACTTAGCCCTTTGGTTCTACCCTCCTCCTATACCTTGCTCGCCCCCGTGTGCATGGAGAGCTTTGTCTGTTGGGTGCAGCATGCTTAGTCAGTGCCAGAAAGCACATAAGTTGTCATTTCTGGGTTTCTTTAAAAGTCAATATTGTGCTTTTCAGAAATAGTGCAGAGAGCTAAATGTCACAATTTCTTGCTTTTGGCAGAATCACCCATAGTCAGAATTCCAAATGCAGTGATTTGAGCTGAACTTCTTTCCAGTATCTTATGCTATTGTATTCACTTTTTTCCCCCAAAAAATGTCTCTAAGCTTTGCTTACCTCTGATTTTCACTGCTTGTGTAGTGTCTTAGTCTCCTCAGGCTGTTAGAAAAAAAACAAAAAAAAACAAAACAAAAACCCAGAAATTTATCATAGTGCTGGAGGTTGAAAGTCTGAGGTCAGAGTGATGATCTGGTGAAGTCCCTCTTCTGGAGTATTTCAACATGAATTTTGGGGAATATAAACACTGAGAACATAGCACACAGGTACACAGCCAATGAGCAACTGGCACACCTGTGTGTAGATGCAGCCATAGCTGACCTGTGCACAAAGCAGCTGAGACTAACAGACCCTCTGGACCAACAGCACATCAGGATCTGCCAGTGATGGCCACAAACAGCACATTCTCTTTCCAGTCTCATTCTGAGGAAAAAGCACTTTAGAAAAATGTCACGGATAAATTATATTTGACAGTTGAGAAGTTCAGGGAAATGAAGGATTCAAGTGGTCCAACTAGTGATTAATATAAGTCTTAGAAAAGCAAGCAAGGAAAATGCTCTGAAGAAAGAAGAGTAGCATAAATTATCTCTTCATTCTTGGTGCTCTGAAATTTTAAAAAATTCCTCCATACGTCAACAATCTTTAACTGACCTTTTGTTCTGTTGACTCATAATAGCTAGTAGCTATGGGAAATTCTATTACTTTTCTGACTAGTCTTTTTGAGCTCTACCAGAATTCTCAGCAGCAGCACCACAGCTTAGAACATAATGGAACCTACTGGGAGAAAATTATTTCGAACTCGTATTTTATCTATAGCCAAGCCCAATGACGAGGGCAAAAGCAAGCTGTGCAAAGAGTCAAACTTTCCCACACATTCACATAACTGGAGAGTCTACTCTGAAAGACCGAGTACAACAAATTAGTATAATTAAAAGAAATCTCAACTTCTAGGTAGGTCAGAACCAAATCAGAATAAGATGCTTTTAAGAAAACGGTTTATAAGAAGTCTACTTAAACAGGCACCATTTAATAGCTGAAGATTTACATATTCAAAATTTTGTTATTGGGCACTGTGTTCCTAGGTACTGTTTTGGCACTTGGGCTGAGTAAACTATCTTCAAGGAACTTGAAGGAGGTTTAGAGACAGACAGTAAACCAAACAATTACCAAAAAGATTAGAAAATGTCAAGTACTCTGGGGATGTGGGAATGGAATTGCACTTTAAATGTTGAAGTGGTGATATTGAAACTGAGACGGTCTCAGCAGTATGGTGACAAAAACATGTTTCATTGTCAGTAAGCAAAAATGGAAAAGATAATTCTAGGTATTCTAGTATGCAAAGACATGCTTTTGAGCAATTAATGAAAGTACCCCAAGTTCCTAGAACACAGCCACATGAATAAAATGTTGAGTATATTGTGAATGAAATGAGAAATTTCTTTAAGAGATTCATTTTTTATTTATACAAGAGCCGGGGTACAGGCCGGCCAGGGGCGCGGGAGGATGAGAGGAGTCACCAGAGACAGAGCGGGGAACAGAACCGGCAGACAGACCGGAAGCACTGCTGAGGGGAGCAGCAGGCACAACAGGAGAGGTCTGCCACGCCATTTGGGAATCTCCCTGGCCGGCCAGAAATCGACCCTGTGCTGCAGAAGCTGTGGACAGCCGCACAGTGCTGTGCTCAACCTGCTGCGCTACTGGAGAGGACCCAAGAAGAGAAACTTCTTGATGAGGGGCACAGTTTTTAGTGACAATTCCATTTCTTTTAATAGTCGTACAGCTAGTTATGAAAATATGACTACTCAAAATTTTAAAAAAGCATGAAAGACCTTTACAGTGATAGAATGGAATATAAATTTAACTATACTTGGCAAAACTCAGAAGATAATGTAGGGAAAAGAAATGGAAAACTGGAAAGTACTCATCTTTTTACGTACATACTGTCAGTTCATGACATACTGTCTACTTGAATGTGTATAAAATATGTGAATTTAACCAATTAAAATTATATCATTTGGGGTTAGAAAAATAAATTTTAAATATGAAAACACAACCATAATTTGTAAGGAGGGATCAGCCTTATTACTTGCGCTGTGTTTTGTTGCATTAAATTTGTCCAATTCAAAATTCATGACTTAAGAAATGAAAGTAGGGGTCTCCCTGGTGGCGCAAGGGGTTAAGCACCGTACTATGAAGCACTCCACAGCCTCTGCAGCACAAGTTCAATCCCTGGTGGCCAGGGAGAAACCTACATGGTGAAGCAGACCTCTCCTGACTCGCCGCTGCTCCCTTCAGCAGTGTATTTCGGTCAGTCTGCCTGTTCTGTTCCCCGCTCTGTCTCTGGTGGATCCTCTCACCCTCCTCCCCACCAAATCTCTGGCCTGTGCCCCAGCCCTTGTATGCATGAATAAATAAATCTTTAAAAAAAAAAGAAAGTGTGCCTACAATATTTAGAATTAAGGAAGTCACCCTTCAAAAGAATTAAAAATGCAAATGACTATAGTACTTATCCATAGGAAGTAGAAATCTATGTGGGGTGAATGAGACTAATTTTTCATTTAATGCCAATCCTGTTTGGATTTCATTATGTACTATGAATTTCATAATGCTCATACAAAACAAAATAACATCCCCAAGTAGATTAGAGAGATTAGAGGCAGATGGCAGGTTACGCAGCTCCAAGCCTTTGTTTCCCCTGAAAGAAACCACAAAAAGACCAGAAATGCGGCATTTGGAACTCTATGAACAAGCTTAGGAAGCTGCCACATGAACATGAAAGAGGCACTTGCCTGAACAAGAAAGAGGCGCTCTCCAAATGGTAGAAATTTGATTTGCACTTCCCCCACCCTCTTCCTGATGCAGTGTAGCTCACTTAGGATAAAAGTGCCACATTCCTAGTTTCTCCCTCCAGATTAAAGGAAAAGAATGAAACTTGCTTTTAACTTTCTGATTTGTCTTTGACTGCCTGAGGAACTGGTTCGCCCTGTACTGATGGGGAGATTGGAAGCTGTTGAAAGCAGGTAGTGGCAGCAGCAAGTGAGATTTGCAGGTGGTGCCTGGGGGCAACAGATTATTAGCAGAGGAACACAATGGACAGTCAAGGCTTTAGAGAAGCCCAGAAAATGACATTCTTTTTCTTTCTTTCTTTTTTTTTTTTTAAAGATTTATTTATTTATACGTGCACTGGGTACAGTCAGAAGCGCGGGAGGGTGAGAGAATTCACCAGAGCCAGAGCAGGGAGCAGAACAGGCAGAAGGACCGAAGTACACTGCTGAGGGGAGCAGCGGGCGGCAGGAGAGGTCTGCGCACCATGTGGGACCCTCCTCGGTGGCCGGGGAGCAGCAGGGAACATAACAGGCGCCACCTGGGAGGCCCAGAATGACATTCTTAGGCAACATTCAAAAGCAACTAAATATAGGGTAAATATAGGAGAAACAATGAAAGAACACACAGTCCCAGGGAAAACAAACGCTGGAAAAGGTATGCGAGGAACCTGAACCTTTATATTGGGCTTATCGGTAAAGGTCTTTCCCTGCTTGAAGTCAGTAAAGACTGGGAGAGGTGGCTGTTAAATCAAATGTGCAAATCCCAACAAAACATGGTAACACATACAAAGAAACACCAAAACATTGCTCAAAGGAACAAATATCCAGAAAGCAATCTTTAAAAAACACTGATCTTGACAAAGAATTTGAAATTACTGTCTTTCAACAAAAACAAAACAATTCAGTCAAAAAATGGGCAGAAGAGCTAAAAAGACACTTCTCCTAAAGGAAATGCAAATGGCAAACAGGTATATGAAAAAAATGTTCAACATCACTTATAATCGGAAATGCAAATCAAAACCACAATGAGAGACTAACCAGTGAGAATAGCACATATTTAAAAAACTGGCAACAACAAATGCTGGAGAGGATGCGGAGAAAAATGAACCCTCTTCCATTGTGGTGGGAATGCAACCTGGTCCAACCACTATGGAAAGCTGTGTGGAGAACCCTCAAATTACTAAAAATGGAGCTACCGTATGTCTCAGCAATTCCACTCCTAGGGATCTATCAAAGGGCACAAAAAATTAATTGAAAGGAAACCTGCACTCTCATGTTTATTGCAGCTCCACTTACAATAGCTAAGTATGGAATCAACCCAAATGCCCAAAAATAGATGACTGGATCAAGAAGATGTGGTCCATATACACCATGGAATATTACTCAGCATTCAAAAAAGATAAACTGATGCCATTTGCAGTAACATGGATAGAACTGGAAGGGATCATGCCCAAAAATAGATGACTGGATGAAGAAGATGTGGTCCATATACACCATGGAATATTACTCAGCATTCAAAAAAGATAAACTGATGCCATTTGCAGTAACATGGATAGAACTGGAAGGGATCATGCTCAGTGAAGTAAGTCGGAAGGAAAAGAAAAATATAGGATGGTTTCACTTATAGGAGGAATATAGGGGAACCGAGTAAGGGATAGGGGGTGGGGAGACAAACCTAGCAGGCAACTATAAATCAGACACATTCAGCAGGGGAGGGAGGAGGATTAAAATGGGTGGCAAGAGCACAAGAGACTATGGTGATGGACCACGAGTGATGTGGTGTTGGAAATTTTAAGGGGATTATACCTGAGAGGGGAAAACATTGTTCAAAAACGAACAATTATGTGTGTGTGTGTGTGTGTGTGTGTATAAATTTTAAAAATAAAAATAACTGTCTTAAATGTGTTCAGTCTGCTAAATCAGACCAAGGACAGACAACTAGTTGAAAAGGATTTATAAGGCACAGAAAGAAAACAGAAATGGAAATTATAAAAAAGAATAAAGCAATTTTGGAGTCCAAATATTGAACTTAATTGAAAAACTCACTAGCAAGGAGGTGAGATGTGACTGCCTGGCTTCCCTGATTGTATCCCTCGTGTCCCCCTCTGCCCCTTGCTTCAAGTTGCTCTGGATTCTCATGTCCTTTTCACTCCACTCCCCGACCGCTGTCATTTCCAGCTATCTGCAATAGATGGTGGATGATTCACCAGGAGACCATGGTGAGGCAAGTCTGGCCAAGGATAATGGCGTGGCAGTGTCATAAAATGGGGAACCAGT